ACCACACTGCCCAAACAACCGAAGAATTTGACGTATGACGAAGTAGTGTCGCAGCTGAAAGAAATTTTTGGTGAGTCTGTACCCTTGTTTGGCCTTCGAAATCAATGCCCGTAAATTGTCAAACACGAATCGGACGACTTTGAGGTCCTAGCAGACAGGATTAGCGGCGAGTATGAACGTTTCAAATTACACTCTTTAACGGACGATCAATTTAATTGTCTCATTTTTCCAGCGCTCTACAATCCCCCAGTGGTGTTGAGATCCGCACGCGGCTTTTAGCTAAGCTGGATCAGGATCTTGATCTGACACTGGAGGCCCTCGTAAGCGAATGCAAAAGGCTGCTCACTCTAAAACACGACACTGCAATGGTCGAATGGAATGGTCGCGCACCACCAGATACCGTGCAACTCGTGAAAATTGCCAGGACCGTCAATCGAAGCAAACCCTTCAAGTGGTGTACGAACAAATAGCCCACAGCATGCTGGTCATGCGGCGAATGGCATTTCGAGCGCTTTTGTCCGTTCAAAAGTCATAATTGTCAAAGGTGACATAAGCATGGGCATAAGGAGAAATTCTGCAGTCGGGTCCGGTCGAAGAAAGTGAAGAGGTCTTATCGAAAGGGAAATTCTAGGATGGATGGAGCAAGAGACTCGGTACATAGCTGCCGCTTTCCAAAGTGAGTGTAAACGGAGACGACGATTCATCCTTGTGTTGATCAATAGGATCCCAACGAAACCGCAATTTGACACGGCCTCGGACATCACGATTATTTCCAGGAGCAAATGGAATCACATAAAGAGGCTAAAGATTGTCGAGTCTCAGAAAGTTGCACATAATGCATCCGGCGGGGTGTTAAACTACGTGGGTGAACTTACTTTCAAGAATGCTTTTGGAGGTATGCAAAAGTCGGAACATGCTACATTTCGGACCGGCCGAATTTGCATCTTCTTGGCCTCGACTGAATTGAAAAGTTGCAACTCCTCGATGTTCCTTTGAATCAGATCTGTAACCGAGTTTGAGCAAGTCCAGACCCATCATCAAAGTCCGTAGAAGACATAACACGTACCCTGAAGCGAAAATTTGCCTATATCTTTCAGGATGGCTTGGACCATTGTACGAAATTCAAGATAAATCTAAGCTTGTGACCAGGTGCTAAATCAATGTCCAAGGCTAGAAGACCGATACCATATGCAGCCATGTCCACCATTGATCAAGAACTCGATCGACTGGAACGTGCGGGAGTCATCACAGCCGTCAACTACTCAGCATGTGTTGCACCTATTGTCGCAGTGAAGAAGGCAAATGACACGGTACGCGTCTGCGCTAACTTCACAACTGGCCTCAACGCCGTGCTGGACGACCACCAGTACCCATTACCTGTACCGGAAGATATCATTGCAAAACTGTATGGTGGTAAGTACTTTGCTAAGCTTGATCTATCCGATGCCTACCTTCAAGTGGATGATGATGAAGTCTCGAGGGAGTTGTTGACGATCAACCCTCATTGTGGGGTATTCCAATACAACCGTTTGCCCTTTGGTGTAAAAACGGCACCATCCATTTTTAACAGTTGATGGATACCATGCTAGCGGGCGTTCCTGGAACCGCCGCAAATCTGGATGATGCCATAGTGATGAATCGAACACCATAAGAACTATTCAACCGCCTGGATGAAGTGCTTGGTTGTATACAGTCGTAAGGTTTCCGGATCCGTGTGGATAAATGCACATTTTTCACGACGATCATCAAATACCTCGGTTTTATCCTCGAAAAGGATGGACGTCGACCAGATTCGGAAAACATAGAAGCCATTAGAAAAATGCCTCCACCAACAGATCTACAGTCCTTGCTTTCCTTTTGTGGGCTCATCAGCTACTACAGCGCATTCTTGCCTGTGATGCACCGCCTGCGTGTCCCGGTAAACAAGCTACTAGCCAAAGGCCAAACTTGGAACTGGACATCAGCATGCCAGAATGCCTTCGAACGGGTCAAGACATTGCTGTCCTCGAGCTTGCTTTTGACATATCTTGATCCCCCCAAAGAGATTGTCCTAACCACAGATGCATCAAGCCATAGGATTGGCGCAGTAATTGCACACAAGTACAGCGATGGATCACAGAAAGCAATCGCCCATGCTGTCAGAACACTTACGAAGGCCGAGAGGAATTACAGCCAGATTGAGACGGAAGAATTTGCCATAGTGTACACGGACAAGAAATTCCACAAAATGCTATACGGCCGTCGCTTCATGCTTCTGACAAATCTAAGGCCCTTGCTGACTATTTTTGGTTCGAAAAAGGGCATCCCGGCCTACACAGCCAAGCGACTACAACATCGAGCTCTTACCTTAATGGGGTATGGTTTCGGGATCCACCACCAGTCAACAGTTTCCATTGGCCAAGTGGATGTACTGTCACGTCTAATTGATGCCTGTCAGCAAGAACATGAGGATGCAATCATTGCCTCGGTCTAGATTGAACCTGACGTCAAGTTTATGGTAACTGATGCATTGCACAGCCTGCCAGTTACCGCAGAAGCTGTACGAACCGAAACGCTTCGGGTCCCAGTATTCAAAAAGTTACACAATTCCACAAAACAACTTGGCCAAGTTCATGTCCATCTGCCGAGTTGCAACAGTACTTCCAGAGGAGACACTCTCTCTTATTGTAAACGACTGCATACTATTTTCGGAAAGAGTGGTCATCCCCAAGGCATTTCAGGAGCGCCTTATTAGGCAGTTTCACGCCGGGTATCCTGGAATAAACTGGATAAAGGTGCTTGCTTGCAGTTATGTATACTGGCCCTTCACGGACGAACAGCTAGAAGAAATACCTAAACGCTGCCAAAAGTGCGCCAATATCTTGAAAGCACCACCAAAATCAGAACTCTATTCATGGCCAAAAGCTACTAAGCCATGGTGCCGCATCCAAGTCGAGTTTGCAGGATCGACCAACGGCAGAATTTTCGTCATAATGGCCAGAAGTATTTCTCATGGATAGCATAACCACCAATGCCACTGTATCAACACTGCGCCAAACCTTTAGCAGATTCAGCTGTCCTGAGACCATTGTCACTGACAATGGCAACCAGTTCACTTCGGCAACGTTTGCGGAGTTTTGTAAGCAGTGCGCCATCCAGCACGTTCGATCACTGCCGTTTCACCCACAGTACAATGACCAGACAGAAAGGTTTGTCGATACGTTTAAGCGACCTCTCCACAAATCAAAAGAGGAGAGACGTATAGAGGGGGTGGTTGACCGGTTTCATTTCCTCTACCGATCAACACCGAATTCAACAGCTCCAGACGGAATTTCCCCAACACAGGCTATGATGAACCGGAAGCTCCGCATGCCTTTCGACGCCATCCGATCGTGCTGGGAATCCACTGATGGTGAAAGAAACCGCAGAATGGAACAGGATTTTAACCGGCGGCATGGAGCAAAGAAGCGATTGTTTACGCTTGGACAGAAAGTGCTACTACGTGACTATCGGGAAGGCCATGCGAAATGGGCGCGATGGACGGTCAAAACCAAGCGTGGAAACGTCCCGTGTGACGTGCTGATGGGCGCACGGATCTGGGCACGGCATGCAAACCAGTTACGGCCTACATTGTGCCAACCAGAACAGACAAGGTCTACTGACCTCCCGTTCGATTTATTGGTGGAAAGTTTCAACTTACCGAAGGTAGCAGTGGACGACTGCACACAGTCGAGCAAAGAATCCAGAACACGAATATCGGAACAAAGTTCTTGGGCATTTCTGCCAAGGAGCTGGACCGACAAGCAGAGAACACCGTCCCGAAGGCTGCAAGTTAATCCTAGGCTTTCCTCGTATACCTCGGACGATATCTCAGGAGAGGTGTTCGGGATAAATTAGGAATCGCCTAGGAAGTCCACTATTTTAGCGATTAATCGATTATTAACGATTATCGCATCGAATTAGAACGTTCAGGAATGGTCTCGTTTCTGCACGTGACTGGAAACCAGCTGGCACATCGACAAAAGATATGGGGAAACGCTAACCTTGGTGGATGACCTTCCAATTCTAGGAGCCAAATGTCTGTAAGAGACCTATAAATACAGCCAAGGTCCGCAGTAGCTGTAAAGTGTTTGTTGGCGGCGATTAATACGCTATTTTTTTCAAGGTCATTGATTTTCTGCTTTTTTCCGTCGCTTGGGCTAAACGTTTTGTGGAGCAGTAAAGTGTCAGTTTCGGAATCGCGTCTAGTAAGAGGAGTATAACAGGGATCAAAGGGCAAGAGGTAGTGGATGTGACTCTGGCAGATAAGTTAAGCTCCATGGTGGTTTATCACTATGTATATCCTTATTGGATTCAAGAAACGACCTTGGGACGGAAGAAAGACTAACAGGTTAGCGATGTTTATGGAATATCAGTTGATGCGACTAGAGTGAGCAACACAACTCTAGCTGGCCCAAAATCACACCAAAAATTGGTTCTATATTTATCGTACTACTTATCCTCAGGTTACTGAAGAGCAGTTGGAATTTTAGTGTAGTTTAAGATAATGCATCGCGGTCCACTCAGTGGTAGATGAGCCGGGCTATGTCATAGTCAACGGTTAATCATGCAGGTCCGCGGCTGTCACACAGCTTAGTGGCACCAGCTGCTAGCGTCCAGAAGTCATTGGGGTCGGAACCTGGCAGGGGTCCGATGGAAGGGGCACCACTGACGAGAGCCAGAAGGTCTGAACAGCGCTGACTGGACCTTTTCCAGGCTTGTCGAAGAATGCTGACTGAGAGTGGGCCATGATGAATTACCTCTGAATTGTCCTCATGTTGTCTGCATAAACCTGTCTTTAATGGACGCATTCTTTAGGTAACATGCTTGCTTGTGTAATTACCACGGTTTGAACACGTTAGTTCAAATAAAGGGTGGTCCAACTGGATTGAAAACCGCCGATATAAAAATATTAACTACTAGTACATCGATAAAACATTAAAAATGAGTGATGCTGCACTGAATTTTTAGCTATCACATACCTTGCTCCATCCAAAATGTTTCAGTGTGGTTTAGACCCATATGAAGGGCAACCAACTGTTCCATCAAGGCTATAAGAACAAAAAGAGAGCAAACATTTTCCAGTTGACTAAAACAGGTACAAAATAGTATCCGAGTTAAAAGAGTGGGATTGTAGTTCCTCTGAATGTCCATGAAGAATGCAAAGCCGAATTTATCAAGCATAAAATTATACAACGCCCGTAAATAAAGTGTGGTACTAAAAATGGAGTGTTACAAGCAACTGTTACGTGTATCAGTAAGCGCGCCGTGGATTTCAAATTCGCCCACAGTTTGTTTACGTGCTACTGCTTCCTGATAATTTAGGTAAAATCATCTAATGCAGCATCAAGCCTGGTACGAACTCGATGATATATGACCGGAGATGGTGAAATCCGAATGAACGTTCTACGATTGGATCTCCTGAATAGAAACAGTTCTGGTGGCCCTCCAACCGGCCGTACTGTGTGACCAGATTCAAGTAGTGGCCTGTCAGTTAAGTGTTACGGCTGAGTTTCTACGAATATCAGCATGTATAATTAGGAAACTTGAGGATCTTGTATATGGAAATAAGATCACATTTTAGACGAAGATGGTGCCCACTGAAACCTCCGAATATCGTCATCCTAAGTTAGTAAGGGAGATGGAATAGTCTTTCAAAATTTTACTCGCTCTCCGTTGTGAATTATCAAGAGCAGAAAGGTCCGGTTTTTTACCAGTGGTGCCAGACCCAAATAAATTATTCCATATGGGTCCTCGCGTAAGCTTCGATTGTACGATCAAACCAACCACTCATTTCTCGGGCTATATTGAGCGTCCGAGACTGATCTGCCCGAGCATCCGAAGATCAATTTCATGGGAATTGCTCCGCGAAAGGTGTTCTCCTAGACGATATTCATAGATTTTCTGGAGGTGAAGGTTTAATATCTTACCTTCGGCGATGTAACGCTTGAGCATGTTTTGAGCTGATGGGTACTGAATAATAAAAGCATAAGAGTGATCTTCCAACAGCGCCAAACACCGCGTTAAGCGCTTGGACCCCTTTCCACAGTAGAGCAACAAACTGCACCTATAAAATTTAGCTTAGAGTTTGCGAGCATGTATGCATGAATAAAACTGTGACAGACATACGTACACGGACTTCAGAACACAAAAAGCACATTTCGCGACCACCGACGGATAATTCTTAATACTAATACTAACTTAGACTTACACGAAGGGCTTAGTAAATTAGTTCGATGACATTAGATCTGTCAACTATTTTTAACGATTGTTTTTTTACATCTATCCTCATCTACCATACTATTCTATTGTTTTCCTATTCGTGAAGTGTTTTCAAAGCTAAATATTCGCTTACTGGGTGCATAAAGTACCTTCATGTCTTGCCAATTAAGGGGCTCATCAGGGGCTGCGTATGCATTTAATACGGAACACCAGATCGACTCGGATAACGTGGAGATCATTAGAGAGGATACGCGAACAACGCCGTAGCGGTTTATTACCAAGACTTTAGAAATCATCATATCGGACAGTTGGGTGAATAGAATGCGTGGTAGGATGCCCAAATGCATAGCAAGTGATGTTTACCCACTGTCTGCTGGTATCGATTTTAAAGGACACTTACTAAAATACCATTTAATGCGTTGAATTCATCTATTATTTATGCTTTCTTTAGTTGCAAACTACTCCTCTATAATCTTCATAATTTTGAAATCATTTTAGCCAGTCCAAGTTTATTTTCGAAAAAGTTTTCCTCAATTGTATGATCACAAATTGTCAAGAAAATGGATAATCCAAAAAGTGTTTGTAATTTAAGTAACTATTCATTGAAAAGTACCAAAATTTTGCCGTATGTGTGTTAAATTATATGTTCAGAACCCATTAGCACATGTATTCATGTAAAATGCGTGATTTTATTGCATGCAATAGCTGCATCCTTCTGTCATTTTTTAAGGACGCCAACAAGAAACGGCGAAGTGAATTGAATAACATATTGGTAAACTGATTGAAAAATTTGCACACTGTTTTACTAAATGTATTGATATATTAGGCTAATACTATTACAACTGAAAACCCTGAATTGTAGTGACGTGTTTTTCTTTTTAAATTTCATGTTCATTTTTATAAAGAAGTATAGACTATAGTTTATTTGGTGACCTAATTTTGCTTCTACAGGAATCTTGAAATTTATTCCGCGCAAGATGTCTACCATGATAGAAGAAGTTGATCTTATCCTGGGAGTCAAGGTTTATGTTACGCCTAGGAGTGATGGACAAAATTATGATGAGGATGATATCAATGAAGGGATTCAGATTGCTGGATCTCTTAATGATCTATCAGCGAGGCAGTTACGCAATGTAGCATCCGTAGTTGCAGTCAAAATGGATGGAGGACCGTTCGAACAGACACCAGACTATGGAAATATGAATTTACAATAGGAAGTTGTTGCTAGTTGCTGAGTTCTTCAAGAATACCCAAAATGGTACCATATTTAGACCATGGAGGAAAGAGGCCTTATGTCCACGATCACAGACTCAGAGAAAAATGGCTTGAGTGTGAACCTGATTTTTTGAACGAGGAGCTTACATTGTAAATCATTTGAACGCTTTTTGATAACGCTGTTGTTGAGCACGTGGTAAGGCAGACAATTGAGCGCGCCCGTTCAAAACATGACCACTCATTCAGTATAACTACGGCTGAAACGCGCGCTTTTCTCGCTATTCTATTTATCTCTGGCTATAATCCATTACCACGAAGACACATGTATTGGGATCGTGAACAAGATGTCTACAATGCAACCGTCAATCAAACAATGAATCGAAACAGATTCGACAAAATCACAAAATATCTACATCAAGCAAACGATGACAATCTGTAAGCAGATGATAAATTTACAAAAGCTCGGCCAATTTATAATCTACTCAATGGAATATTTATTCGATTCATCCCCGTGGAAGCAAAGCTGTGCGTGGATGAATACAGGATACTGTGTTAAGGTTGCGTAACGCCTGATAAGATTGTCACCGGCACGCCTACTGTAACGGCTTGGAATGCTGGCCAATCTAACAGACTTGCGCTGCTCGGATGGCGTTAGCTTAGCCCGGTGAGACGGAAATTGAAACTTTCCTAGCCGTGCGTACTCGGGTAGACGCTGAGCCATCGTAACGGACGAGGCTACGCACACGAGAACGGGGGTTATTATAGACGCGCGCTGGTGGCTTAGACGCCAACGCTGCCCGGCTAACGACGCACACAAAATCACATGACCCGACCGATTCCCAACTAAAGGTGAAGAGAAATAAAGGCAAGTGATCCTCTGAAGGCTCTTTTACGACCAACAAAGGCAAATCACAGCCAATGTTATGGGTCATTTAGTTAGGGAAAATAGCTACCACGACGGGGTCGTAGTTTGTAAAAGAACATTGTCAACAGGTGCGCAGTTGTGCCGCGTCTCGGAATGGCTGAAAACTGCTACCTTGTGGGGAGGAATTAGACCCGGCTTTCCACAGCCATTACGCCGGAGTTTGTGGAGCGCTTTTGCGGGATATTTTACAGGCACTCAACACTATGTTACGGCCGTCATGGACTGAAGCAATACATCAAAGAAAAGCCTATTAGATTCGGGTATAAACAATGGGCCATTACAACACCGCTAGGCTATGCGGTCTATGTGGATCTCTACTAAGGAGCTCAGGCCAAATATGACTTCATTAGGTCAGGGAAATGAAGCTGTTATGGACCTAGTGGACAAGCTCCTGAAGGAGCAGCCCAACCACAGCTATTCTGGCGGTTTTTTGCAGGCTTGCCTCTCATGATAACCTTTACCAACAAAGGCATAAGAGCAACGGGGACCGTTCAAGCAAATAGGGGAGAAAAGTGTCCCATCGATACGAAGGCCCTAGGAAACCTAAACAGAGGTACTTGTGACTATAGGTTTGATGTTCGAGATGACATGTTCGTTTTGTCTTGGATTGCTAATTCTATTGTGAATCTTGCCAGCAACTCTGTTGGAGTATATCGTCTGACAACATTGAAAAGTTGGTCGGCGAAGGATAAAAATCACATACTTATTGAACGCACTAGCATCGTTATGTAGTATAACACCTCCCTGGCAGGAGTGCAGCGATTGGATCAAAATGTCGGTCAGTATAGAATCAATTTTCACAGCAAAACGTGGTGGTGGCCGCTACTCGCCTTTCAACCGGATGCTGCAATGAATAATGCTTGGACATTGTACAGAAAACCACGTGCACATAAACAAGAGCCAAATGACACACTTTCCTTCAAACAAACTGTTGCAAAAGTCTACTGGCAGGTGTATTTAGCAGAGTAAAATATCCCTGTAAAGGTTCTTACACCCGGCAGAAAACGCTAAAAGGTTGAAGACAGCATCAGGAAATCTTGCTCTGGATACCACTTAGAATTTAGGCTGAAATAAATAAGATGCCGGCACGGTGGGAATAAGACTACTCTATTCCGCCCAGTGTGTGATGTGCCCCCTATAGGTGGCCACTCATAAATGATACAACACATTTTTTGTGTAAAAGTGGACTTCACATTCTTTTATAACGAGCAACTGCCTGCTACATTGTCAAATCCGCAAATAATCGTCTATTTGCTCAGAAAACGTAGTTTTATGTTTTCACTCACACTCGTTTTTTAAAAGGACAGTTAGAAAAATCATCATATTTCCTAAAATAATCTGAATTGGCAAAACTTAGACTTCATGTAAATGTGTTTGCACCATTTCCCATAACATTTGTGAAATGAAGAAAATTTAACACCGCAACAGAAATGGATTAACCCGACCAGCTTGATGAGCGTCCGTGCATGGATAAGATTCGAGTCATCACTAAAGGCCTATCTAGTAGTGCCATGACCCACATAAAACACCTGGACTATACCCACTGCGGCTGAACCTATTGAGGTGACATCCCGATCTGCGACTATAATAATGCTTTGGCTTAGATATCGGGTATCGCGGTTATCATCCCAGTACACCATAAAATGGCGCTTTAAGTGCATACTGATTCCGCTGGCCTGACGAAGCTTT